CTCTGCACAGAGCTGTGAAGGAACATGGAAACTGCATCATGCTCCTCCCTGTACCTGCTATTTCTGCACAGCCAAATATAACCAAACTGCAAACAGAGCCTGAATGTCTGTCTTAGGGTAAGAAAGCTAGCAAGTTTGCTTTGAAATGTTCTGTTATCTCAGCATTTGTTTGAACATGGGCACTCATTTCATGGTCTGAAGGAACAAACTGTTTTTAACCCAGCACTTATTGTATGCTATGCATAAATCTTTCTACTTCTTTCACTTAAGAAAAGCAGAAGGAAGTTGCAATCACTGCAGTGTTTTCACTCTTTGCTGGAGGTCTGTGAGGAAAAATCAGGGATATGAGAATTCCCAGCTTGGTACCAGGTTCTTTACAGAAAAGGAAACTAGCACTTCTGGAAGTATTGCTTTATTCTTCTTTTGCTGTGTGCATTGGGTATTATTAATGCAGAGATTTTTAGGGTCCTAATCCTATTGCTATGCTTTCTATAGTTCATCTTTAAAATTTGGAGGATTGTGTGATTTATTATTTGTCAAAAGGGGAAACATCTTCCTTAAAATAATGCTTGTTTCATTCTAATAAAAAATAGAATGAGGCAAAATTCCCAGGAATTAGGTAAAAATGTTTCAAAAGCACTGCAAATGAGGTTACTAATTAAGTGAAAATTGAGGTCAGTTTGGAATCAAGTCCCCATCATAATGAGTAAAATACAGGCAGTGCAAACTGTACCTCAAAAGTGTTTTATTTCAGTGCTATGGGCAGAAGAAAGAGCTGTTTTCAGTTCTCTGGGTTGAACTTATTTTCAGGTCCTTAGTGTTTTTTCTTATGAGCACAAAACTGCTGGGACCATCTAGCTTTCCTGTTTGCCTGTCCATCTGTCTCCACCCCGACAAAATAAATACATCTAATTTCAGTCCAGTCTGAAGCTGGAGAGAATCTGAAACTGACTTCTGAAAAACGTGATGAAAATCAGTGGCTGAGCTGGGAAGAGAAATGCGGGTGGATGCCCTCAGTAAGAGAAAGGAAGAAGCTCTTCTGCTTCCTTGGGGTACCCCAAACCTCAGAGGAAGAGGGGGGTCCAGCCTATGGGAAGGAGGCGCTGCAGAAAGCAGCTTTGTTCAATCTGTTGCTATGGAGAAGGTTGCTTGTATTAAATATTTCTGTTGCTTCGTTTACTTGAGCATACATACAAGTTAGCCAGAGAGTAAACAGGGAATGTAGTGAGCAATTGAGTCAAGGAAACCATGGCAGTGTACCTTCAGATGGAGCTGCTGGTGGAATCTCTGATGTCTTGTAAAGGCTGAGTTCACGCTCTGCTCTGTTCCTTAGCAGGAGCAGTAAGGGTACCTCCTTAGCCATGCATTGTCAAGAAGGGTGTAAAGGTGTGCTAGTTGTGCCAGCCACTCTCTCATCAGGTTTGTTAAACTCAGTGTACCCACAGAAGCACATCTGACTAAGGGATCAAATAAACGCAGGTGCAAACTATGGCTGTATAATCTCATTTCTTTAGGAAATAGAGTTATCCTTAGGAGGTAATAAATATAGGCTTTTCAAAGGCTAATCAACAGCTAATTTTGCATAATTAATAAAGCCGGCTCTTGCCCCAGACTATGATGGCAATACCAGCTGCAGTGTCAAACTAGAGGGGAGCTTTTTCTTTGTTTCTCTCCCCCCACAAAGCCTAACTTGCTTACAGAGCTGGCTGACTGTTCTTTTGTTGCTGATGAAATCAAAGATGCAGTGTGTGTGGGGTGGAGCACACTGTCAGGCTACAGCAGCTTCAGAAAGTGCTTTTGCATGAATTTATGCCCTATGGAGCCACCACATTTCTGTGCCATGGTTTTATGATCGCCATTAATATTCTTTTCTGCCAGTATTAATGTCTTCAATTCAGAACGGTGGACAGTACCAGCATATTCTGGAAACAAATGGATGAAAACAATTGGATCTCTTTCTCTCTCTCTCTCTCTGAGATCTGCAGATCCAGCTCGCTTGTTAGGACTCAAGTGTACTTTATATAACAGATGCTACTGAGCACAAAGTTTCCATTGTATATGCCTCACTGTGGTCATGTGGAATCCTTACAAAGCGAGCAGGAGCATCATTACATTGCTTGGAGTAGGATATGAATGTAATTGGACTCTTGCAAAGCAATTTCACTTGAAGTGCTAATAGCCTGACTTCATCTGATCAGCATTTAGATCAAACACCCATTGTTCAAGTCAGGCACACAGTCCACTTATTATGAGGAAGTTGTATCAATATAGGCAAAAACAATGGGAAGCAGCAAGATAAGGAGCTGAGTCAACAGAGAAACTGTGTAAGTTTATCTGAGATATTCACTTGTTTAGGGAAGGCTCCTGAAGACAAAAGAGTTACAGATCTTCCAAGATAGAAAGACAGTCTCACTAATGTGGGCTTTTCCAGGAGCTCCACACAAAGGGGGGAAATCCAGAATGCTGGGGATGTTTCCAGAGGACAAATGTGTCCTCTTTAACAGTGAATAATGCAAGGGGAAGGGCAGGAGAATGATCCCTCTAGAGTGTGTCATGCTGTGGACAAATAGGGGCACTGAGCACCTGCAAAGAGTGGAAGTGTTGGATTTTGAGGAAGAAGAAGGTCATTTGGTGCACCTGACAAAGGAGGTACTGTGCTAGTTACACTGCTGTGTCCTTGTGGTTTACTCTTCCTCTCCTTTCTGCTTTGAAGGACTTCCCTTGGGTGGGCAGTGTAGGTGCCCATGAAATAGAGAATGAAGGTGTAAGTGAAATGCAGAGTGCCTGGATTCCCTTGTCAAAAGTGATTGTTTTGAACAGCAAGCAATTTCTGTGCATTATATTAACAATTAGTGAAAGACCTCTTGTTCCAGTGTCACCTTGACAAGTTTCAGCTGCTCTGCTGTAGATGTACAGCTTCCCCAAGGCTCTGCTTGTCTAGGCATAAGACCATTCATGGGAGCACTGCAGTGAGGACATTACTAAAAGTTTAGGTTGCACATCCCGATCTTTTGGCTGCAGAACTTCATCCTGAGCAGTAAAATAGCATTAGAGACAGAGGTGAGATATCTGTGCACCCTGCATATGCTGCTAAGGCACACAGACCCAGAAAAGCAAGCTGCCTGTTGGCAGCTCCTTGGTAGCTTCTCCTCTCCTGATACAGTGCTTTCCTGCTCAGCAACACCATTCTTCAACCCTTGCTCAAATAGGATACCCCAAGAACACTCTCATCTTGGGGCTATCAGCTGTGAAGCTTGGAGTAAGAGGTCTTCCCAGCCCCACTAAGTCCATCCATCTCTGCTCAGTAACTCACCATTTTCCACAGGCTCATTTTTGAAAGAAATTTTTCAAAATTTTTTTTCATTCCCTTGAAAGAAATGGGAAAACAGTGCCCCAGTTTATGGCATGATCTGCAATTGTACTGTATTCAGCATTTATGTACTGTAGAGAATCATGCCTGCAGGACTGGCACTTTGACATTCAATTTCCTTCTATAAAGAAGTCAAAGGCAATGATTTTTGTTAGAGCTGGTCCTGTTGGAAAATGCCAATGAAGTTGAAAATAAAAACATTGTGTTGGAATTTTCATGGGAAAATATTGCTGAAGGGTTTCAGCATGCTTGGAATGCTTCTCTTCTGTACTAGCACTGATTCTGTCTTGTGTTAGTATATATTGCAGCTCTAACATTCCAAAGAAAATATTTTAACTTTATCAAAATAAAGTTAAATAAATAAATAGAGATCAAAATGGAAAATGTCAAATTGGAATGTAGATAAAACTCCCAGTTTTTGACTGCTCCACAATCAGGGAAACACAGCATTTTGCAACCTTGATATTTCCTACTGGCAACACTTCAAATATATGACCGCTACAGGATTTTCTGTTTATTCTTCTAAATGAAATGCATTTGTTTCCTCCTTGCTGATGTTACTAATGACTCTGTGATAACATGCTGGTGAAATTAAGTGCTGAGTAAAAGAGCCATAATATTTACTTGGTTTCCAAGTAGAAAACTAGTAGAACTTTACAGTCATGAAAATGTAGAAAATCTTGGAAGAAGCTGCAGATGTTAAACCCAGAAGGACAGCTGCATATGTTCTGATTCATCTGGATGCTCTGTGAAAAATATAGCCCTTAAATTCATACCCTCCAAAAATCGTTCTTGAGTAGTGTTTGGTTTTCATTAAAAACTGCTTGTACTAGCTAAGACAAGACTCTGTCCTTAGTTAATGAAAATCCTCAAGTTCTCAATTCCATTTTTAGAATCATGGAATGGAAAAATAAAACCAATTTGCAATGATCTAGCAAACAGAGTGTGGTAAGGATAGCATTTCAGCTTATAGCGAAGTGTATTGTCTTTCATGCAGCAGTGCTGAGGCTTTTAAAAATCTGTTTTGAACACGAACTCCTGGAGTTAAATGACCTTTTCCTTGCAGGAATTTGTTCTGAGGATTATGGATCGGAACCTCCAACAGCTCAGGACCTGGCAATACGAACCTTGTAGTGAGTGGGCATAAATCTGCTTTGTCTTCCTGCAGATTGCTGTAATGGTATGCAAGTTATATCATAGAGTCATCAAGATTAGAAAAGACTTCTAAAGCCACCCAGTCCAACCCCAACCCATCCCCACCATGCCCACTGACCACATCCCTCAGTACCACATCTCCACAGTTCTTGAATGCTTCCCTGGGCAGCCCATGCCACTGCGTTACCTCTCCTTCTGAGAAGTTTTTCCTAATATCCACCCTGAAAGTTATATATGTGTATATATTAAAATAAACAACTGTGTGTGCAGTTGGTGGAAGTTTCAGATCTCTCTCATCTCCTCCAAATAGCGTTGCTAAAACAAGAATATCATCACATCTCCTCTATGGGTTTGCATCCCTCTTGGCTAACACTGGGCTTTCTGAGGTGGGAAGATCCTGGCTCCAGTGTGAGGAGGGATCTCCTCACTACAGAGCAACTCAGGCACATGCCTGTGGTGTGTGTGAAATGTGATGCATACCTCATAGAAACTATTAGTAATAAACTTTATGAAACTGATAAGGTTGTCGTTGGAACCACTGCAGCATGCAGGGGTATTTTAATCATTCAGAAAAGGGTGAAAATTCCACTGGCTTTTCCCCATTGTTTGTGGTTAAATTGTGTATGGGTTTTTTGACATCATTTTCCCAGAGCAGAGAGATTACATAATAGGGCTGGCAGCTGGCAGCCTGTAAACATTTCCTCAGCACTGTCAGGAAACAGGTTACATTTCTTAGAAATCAAGTGGAGATTGTAACCGCCCAGAAAAAATTAGTGGATAAATGACTTCCCTGGGAAATCAACGCTAAACTTGTCCCTGAAGCATCACCGTGCATAGAAGAGTTTTAACGTCTTGTTCTGACAGTATTTTCAGTATCCAGCTCATCTGGGTCATGAAGAAGATAAAGAGTTCCTGTGGAGCCTTCATGGGAAGAGGCCACAAGCAGCAGAAAGGGGCTGAGGAGAATGCAAAGATGCTTCCCAAGGCCAAGGAGAGAGAAAAGCAGGAAAAAAACTGGGCAGGAAAACTGAAAAGCTTGGTAGAGGTTGTTCCCAGCAGGAAAAAGGCAGCTGCAAAGAAGGATAAAAGCAAAAATGAGGCGGGAAATTTGCTGGTGATGGAAACAAATAGGAAAAAAGAGGACGGAGAAAGGCCTGCAGGTAACTTTGAAACTCTCTCTCCCCAGTCCCAGACCTTCTCAGCCTCCTCCAGACCTATAAACTTGTTTTTGTTACTTTCTGGAACAGGGCCTTTAAGTTTTCCTCCTCACCATCCTTCACCTAATTGATTGTCCTTTATGAGCTGTACGTTCTGTGAATGTTCTGTGACTCACTTTCCCTTAGCCTCATACACATTTCTTTTTGCTGCTCTTATTTTATCTCTACAAAGACTCCTGATATATCTTGTAAAAAAAGGATGATGTACATTTGACTTATACCCTGTAGGGTGTGACTGTGCTGCTCTTCCACAGAGTTGTGCATGGATTAACTGGATGAAGGAAACCTTTCCTATTTGCTGTGTGTATTGAGGCAGGAGGAGTGCAGCTCGCCCATTGCTTTGCTGGAGAACCTTGCATTAACCTTTCCCCATTTTGTGTCATGTTCTTCCCTTCAGTCCTGTTTGATTTAATCCTAACTCCACAGAGGAGTTGTTTCATAGAGGAAAATTAGGATACATGCAAAAAAAACAATTAAAGCATATACTCTTTCATTTTTCACTCGACACACACCAAAAGCAGCTTCCTGAATTGATTCCAGTGATTGCAGTGCTTTGTCCTGCTAGGCATTCTGTGCAGAAGACAGAGGATTCCTACTAGGCTTGACTTTGAGCTTTATGCTCTTTCAGATGTTCTTTCTGTAATTCCTTTGCTCCATAAAAAAGGTACTTTCCTTAGTGAAGAGTTATCACGAATAAACCTGTATTGCCCACAAGAGCAGGTCTGCTGGGATGACCATGACGAGTTGCTGCAGACAGTCAGCAGCTCCGTGAGCCTGAAGGAGAAAGAAAGAGACAAAAAGGAAAGAACTTGAAAGTGAGAGCTGCTTGTGCTGAACCTGGTGAAGTCCTTTTGAGTAGAGTGAGGATTTTTGGGGTAGCCATAAACTCCATACTTCAATAAGTGGGTATTAAAGCGATGAAGGTGTGAACATGTATCAAGCTGAGTTATTATTCTCTATTGCAGAGGAAATCATCTGTGGATTCATTGAGCAAGGAAAGTTTTCTCAAGCTTGCCATTATATTTCTCGTCTGGAGCAGCCTGGAAGTGATGGTGTGGGAGACTCTGAGTCACTTTACACTCTTCTGGCTGAACGAATGTGGTCTGCTGTGAGAAAAGCACTCGATGGGAGTGATGGGATGCTCCTGCAGCCATTGCAGTCAGTGGGTGAATCACTGAACTGGCAGAAGCAGAAGAAAGAGGAGTGGCTTAGCAGTGAGCAAGGGATGGAACCTGCTTCCACCTGGCATCCAAACTTCTGGGAGAAAGATCTGGAGAAAGAACTAACACAGTACTGTACAGCCCAGATTCCCCACTTTATTCCCACTGGTGACACAGATGATACTGCACTAAAACAGCATCTGAATCAGCTGGAAACAACATTCCTCCTCAGCCTGAAGCACAGAAGTGGTGCCTTCAAGGAGGCAGGACTGCTCATCCCCTACAGCCGGTGCTGCCATGCCTCTTTGTTCTCTCACCTTTCCACCCTCACTGACAGTGAGCACTGTACCTACAGCCAAGGGCTCTTAGTTTATGAATGGTGCCTAAAAGCATATAAAAGGTATGTCTAGAGAACATCCTGTGGACTACTGTTGTCTGCTTCTCCCACTCACTGCTTATCTGGCTTCCAAATTGACAAATTATTTCCATATTTCCTTCATTAGCTTTTGGGCCATGGGAAAAAATATAGCAGATCATTGAATTCCTACCCAAGTTTGGGAGAACAGGTGTGGCTTGCCCCATGATCTGAAGAGCAGCATACCAGGACCCAGTGTGAATTCAAAGCCTTGCCCTGAGAATGCTTTGTAGCTGTCATTGAAGCCTGAACATACTTTGCTTTCTTGCGATTTGTGTATGGTGATGGTAGATGAGATGTTTGATTCTCTGTAATCATGTTTAACTTTGCTACTAAATAGCATTAGTCTAAAATCATAATCACAGAATGGATTGGGTTGGAAGGGTCCTTAAAGCCCCCTCAGTTCCAAATACCTGCTGTGGGCTGGCTGACCCCCAGCAGCTGAGGCTGCTCAGGGCCCCATCCAACCCGGCCTTGGTCATCTTCAGGGATGGGGCGTGCACAGAATCTATTTATGTTCTACTCATTTTCAGAACTTTTGTCTTATTTGGTTGCTTCCATGCAAGTCTAGAGCTTCTCTGTTCTTTTTATAATTGCACTCATAATGATCAGCTGCTAATCAGTTCCTCAGCTGGGCTCCTGAACAGGGAGGATGTGTGATGGGTCACATCAGTGAATGCTGTCCTCACACATATGGGAGATGTGAGGTCAGGATGTATCCCTCCTGCTGCTGCTTGTTCTTCAGTAAGATTATTGGATTGCTGAAATTAGAAGTTCTGCTTTTCTTCTTTCAGAAAAGTGCAGCCTGTGACTATGTTATCAGAAGATAATGAAGAAAGTGAAAATGAGAGTAGGAGAGATGCCAGACTGACTTCAGGGAAAAAAAAAAAATCGTAACTGTTTGAATTTTCTCTGAACACAACTGCTAACTTAGTAAATGCTCATATGGAGATGCACTTGTCCTGGTATACAGGTGCTTTCTCTTATAGGCCCGTTTCCATTTAGATGGAGCATATGACACTGGTGCAATTGTGCATATACAGAAGTGGGTTTGTGTAACTGTGCCCAAGCCCGAGAAAGAATGCAGAAGTAGGAGAGGAAAAGGGAGAGGGAAATCAAAGAATCATGGAATCATTAATGTTGAAAAAGATCACTAAGATTTTCCTGTCCAACCATCAGCCCATCCCCACCTGCCCACTAATGGAGAGCAAGAAGTGTAATTGGGCTGCAAGTGCAGAAAGGAAGAAAATAAAAAAATAATAGTCAGGAAAAGGACATGAAAAGGATGATTGGACACGCCGGGGCTGTGCCAGTATTGTGAGCACTGCTGGGTGTTTGCTGCACGCCCTGTGAGCCCCCAGTGTAGTGCAGGGGGTGCCAGGTGGGAGGGGGTACCAGATGGCTGCTGGAGCTCTTGTCTTCTGCATGCAGGGGAAGTGGGACGTGGTTGGAACCCAGGCAGAGCTCCCAGCACCCTGATGTGCAGAGTCTCACGTGGATTATTCTGAAAACAGAAGAAAAGTTACTTGCAGTCACCCGGGTAAGGAATCAGTTATTGAGGGATGTTTGATTTGCCCTTTCACAGCCCTCTCCAGCCTTCTGGATTGACACTGCTGAGGCTATAACGAAGTTTACTTCCAGACCCCAGCACAAGGAAACACACAGTTGGTGCAAAGCCCTTCTGTAAGGCCTGAGCAGGGCAGCCTGCCTTGCAGTCCTCTGCTCAAGGACTGCAGCACCTCTTCTCTTCCCAACTCTCCCCCTTTGAGGCGTGCTGCCTAGGCATGTGGAATATCAGTAAAGCAAAGAAGATGTATCATAGCAGTGGGAAGTCCCAGAAGAAACCACAATGTTAGGAAAACTCAGCCTGACCTTTTGGATTCAGCTAATGCCCAAATGAAAGACCAGAAGTTACCACCCTCCTCTTCCCTCTCACTTTCCCTCTATACCTTCTCCCCCTCCCCATGAGCATATTTTTGCATCACCCTAGGGAAGGTACTCTAAATTGCAGTTTTCCTTAATTGCCATTCCCCCACGAGCCCTAGGGTAGTCATAAACATGGGGGCAGAAGCACCTGCTGGTGACAGGATCCTTTAACCCTACTGATTTCAGTGTTTGAATCTGAGCCTCTTCATGGGCTCATCATCCTAAATCTTCCACCCTGGGGAAGACCATGTGATCCTAAGGGCTTATTTGAGTACTTATTTCAACAAAGGAAATGACTACAGTCAGGGTAGTGCTAGTGAAGTTATTTCAGAGCATGACACTGAGTCACTGACAAACTCTCAGAGCCACTAACAGTGAAGGAGTATCGAATTTTTTATTTTTTTCCCCTAATGTTATGACTGGGGGAAGCTCTGTAAGCATGGGCATTCTGCCTTCTGGGCACACCATCCACTGAGCAGGCTCACCTAGATCTGGCAGTGGCTATAAATACTTGTGTGATGCTCCAAGCTGACTGCATTTTTTGCAGGTCTTACAAGTCTGCCCAGAGAGGTGGTGGATGCCCCATCCCTGGAGACAGCCAAGATCAGGCTGGATGGGGCTCTGAGCACTTGATGGAGCTGTGGGTGTCCCTGCTCATTGCAGGGTGTTGGACTGGATGTCCTTCCAATTCAAACAATTTTATGCCTCTATTATTGTGAATTATCTCTCGGTGATCATAATATGTAACTGTGACTGTAAGTCATACAGCTCTGGTTTTGCCACTTCAGTGGATGACTTTATATTTCTCAATGAGAAGAGACAGAACAGAATAAGCAATAGCCTGCTTCACTCATCACCTAGTTTTGTCATGGAGAGTGCCAGCTTCACATCTGTGCAAGCTCAAAGCATTTTCAAAAGAAGTGAGTGATGAGAGCTGTGACCACATCAGAGGGGACTGCAAACTCAAATGTCACATGGGGTTCAAAGCAGCTTCCAAATGTCATTGTGGAGAACATGGTCAGCTCTGGTTATGGGCAGTGGTACTTCAGCACTGACACGTCCAGGGCAAGGGGCCTTTCTTTGTGCCTTTTGAGGTTGAGAAGTTGGTGAGCTGGTAATTATGGTGTCATTGATGTGGTTGTTGGATCATCCCTGTCCTTGCTGCATCGGGACATTTGACATGAGTGCAGGACAAAACTTGCAGTGAGAAATTAGGATTAATTCTGTTACTGAGAGGTGGGAAATGAACTTTCTTCTGTCCCCTGCTTCTGTGATCTCAGCTCAAAACTGACTCTTTGTCCAAAGCCAGTGATGGCAAGACCAGATGGGCATTCCTGGACAAAAGGGCTTACAACTATCTGAAGTGACTTGGCTCTGTATCTTCTCTTCCTCCCCATATTTTCTCAAGTAGACAAAAGAAGAACTGAGAAGTGAATGTGCTTTGTAAAATTTGGGCTGAGTTGCTGCTGCTGCCCAAGTGAACAAGGCTCTCAACAGCCTTGTTTGCCTGCGCTGTGCACTCCCTCCTGCACTGAACATCTCAGCCAATTTTGACTGTATTTATTAAGTAGGTGCAGGTCTCGAGGTTGTTAAATTCTCACGTGCTTTAAAACAGGAGTTGGACAGATGAGAGAGGAGCAGGAGGAAGCCGGAGGTTATTTCTGGCTCTGCTTGTTACATCAGAAACTGGTGCTCTGTCAGTGCGTGGGGTGCTGGTGTCACTGCAAGGGCTACAGAGGGCAGGCTCACATCACCTGGTTCAGAGCAACCAGGTGCACTGGCCCAACAAGTTACTGCCCTGCAGCAAGTAGCTGTGTGCTTTGTCCCACTGTGTTGGTTAAAGTTACTTTGCAGCTGGGGCGGGCCAGAGATGTTGGTGCAGCTCAGCTTGGATCTGTTATCTCAGCACATCCTGCTCACACAATTGCTTGCAGTCAGGTGATGGCACTCTGAAAGGATTTTTTTCTTGGACTGTTTATAACCACTTGTTTGCCTTTGTTTAACACTTTTAAGTGAATGTGGCAGAGCAGTTTTGGATACGCTTTTGATGAAATTCTTAAGTGACAGCCATGAATTTTGTAATTCATCAGCCAGAAGTGAACAAAAACAAAAATGGAAGATCAGGCTTTACATTCTTTCTATTTCTTTGGTGAAAGATGCAGAAATGAATGAATAACTAAGCCAGGCTTTTGAATTTAAAGCTTCTATAAAGGTCAGATCATGTTTTAAGCAACAAGCCCTTTCTCTACAGTGTCAGTTTTGTTTTTATAGTCAATTGAAAATAGCACAAGCCAGCCAAGCCTTTGGAAATTTCCCATCACACCGCCTCATGGGGCTCATCTTGCTGTGACAGTAGCTCTAAACACAAACCCGACTCTTTTGGTACTCACATGTCCCTGGCATGAGCGAGGGAATGCTTTTCATTAGAGCTGGCTGGTTTATGTGGTGCTGGTTGGAGCGAGGAAGGGTGGAAAATCTCAGCTACAGTTGCTGGCAGGCTGTGTGCTTAAGTGTTGTTTTGCTGTGTGGGCACCTTCACTGGAGCTAAGCTAGCTAGGGGAGGCTGCAGATAACCCGAGCTGACACGGAGATGAAAGGATGCTGCAAATCTTTTAAACTCAAGCAAACAATGTAGAACAAAACAGGACAATGTTATTAGGTCAGCTGGAAAACTGCCAGGCTTTGGGTTAAATGAGATGGCCAAAAAAAACAGAGGCAGAAATTCATCTAATCCAAACGCATAATGAAAGGCTGGCAAACCTAACTCATTACAAATGCCATCACATCTCAACTGTTCTTTCTTTATTATAATAACTTTTTATTTTTTTTATTTTTTAGAAGGAAGTAGCGAAAGTCCTGAATGAAGCCTTTAATATTCGGGAAACCCCTTGCACAGATGCTGCAATCATTCAGGTAAACTGGGGAAGAAGTTGAAAAGCTCACATCCTTTGGGGTAGTTGCATTGTTGTATGCATCTACGTAGCTAATTGAAGAAATCCGGTTTTGCATGTTTGGGGCCCAAAAAGCAAGTGTTACAAGCTTGCAAGTCAGCTGCCACATTTTAACTGCTTCTTTTGGCCCTCACATCTGCTTTTCTCCTGAGTGTTTGGATCAAAACCTGCAAAAGCATTGAAATAAATCCTGGGGATTACACCTGGCAGAAGCTAGATAGAGGACAGCTGATAGGGCTCTCACATCAGCTGAGATGCTGTAGATATGGTGGTCCTATCTCCAACATCTGGCCATGTCTCAGCCCTGAGGGTTTGGCTGTGTTGTGTACACAACTGGTTTGAGTGTTCTGTGGTAGGTGATGAAGAGACCAGATAAAACAGCAACCCTCACGAAATTGTCATTTCCTCAATTTTCTTAAGCTGACTCCCTAAAGATGAAATAGAAAATGAGCTCCATGCTTTGGAAACGCATCAGCTGTGGATTCTTGGCACTTTGGTGTGGTGTGTTTTATCTTGTCCCTTCTGGTGAACTTTCACATCTGTTCTGAGCAGTGGAAAAACCCACTGATGAGTGTCACCCTTTGTGTCTTGCTAACTCTTCCCAGAGCATTGAGAGAGCACAGCACATGAGTCTGCCTGTCTCCTTTTTTCTATCTGCCTCCCTCCCCCTTGCAAGCTTTTGTTTCCACAGAGCAACTAATGGGCAGCATTAAGTTGCCACCAGCTCAAGTCTGCCAAAGGTGGGCTGGGTTTTAGCTCTCTGGCACAGCCTGCCTGCTTGTAGGCACCTGAGCTGTATTTCTGTTCACTGCATAAAGAAAAAAATGGCTTTGAAATCCTCAGATGTTAACAGAGAAGACAAAAGCAGCCCAGCACATCAGTGAGAACCTAAGGGAGAAGGTGGAAGCTGTATGCCTGGAGGAGTACCTGAGCTTCCTGGGCAGGTAAGGAGGATGCTATTTTCCCTGTTGGCATGTCCTCAGTGCTCAGCAGAATGAAATCCTGGTGGAGCCACTGGCAATCCTGTTTTCAGATCCTAACCACAGCCAGAAAGAGAGGCAGCTTCATGGCTGATGGCCAGGATTGCTTCTTCCTGCCCTGCCTGTGCTTCCCATGCTTGGTGCTGCCTCCTGGCTCCCCGTATGGTAAGAGCTCTGCTCTGCTGTGCTTCTTGGTGGATGATGAATATTGTGTCCTCGTCTTTTGTCGTCTCAGCATTTCTTCAGACTCCCTTCATCTGCACTTTGACTCTAGGCGCCCTCCCTTTGTATCCTGCACAGCAGAAAATGCCAGTGCTGTTGGTTGAAGATGAAGTAATTCAGAAAGAGATACAACTTAAGATCCTTGGCTTTTCACAATTTGAGATCCTTTCCTTCTCACATTATAAAAGGAAGGAAGTTCCTGTAATACACAATTGTTCAGGAGCCACTGTGGAATTGTTCACTCCCACTGAGACTGAGGCCATGATGAAACGGTCAATAGACCTTGTGGGTTGTTTGTGCATGCCAAGGCTTTTAGTGTTCTGCAACTCATCAGCAAAGCCAGAAGCAAGAGTTGCAGAAGCAGCAGCAATGATAAAATGAACCTCCTGCCTCTTAGAAGTGGCACCCAGGCAGCTCAAGGTCTGTCCCCATCCATTGCTGTGCTCTCCCTCCTCACCATCTGGGCAGGACAGAGACCATCTTTGCCTTGCTCTAGGTCCTCTTTCAGAGAGTGAAATTACACACACTCAAAATACAAACCTTTTGCTGCTAGGGTTACACTGTCAGATCTGTTACAGAACACAGCAGCTTAAAAATATGTCACCCTGTTTTGATTTAGCTATGAAAACAAAGTAAGAAGTGTTCTCCAGAATGATGGCTTCCACGGGATCTCCAGCAGCTTGCAAATCATTGAGAACTTCAGCATTCTCAGGTAAGGAATCAGACCCTGGTGGCATCCAAAGTGAAATGAACTTTCTACTTTCTGATTTTCTTCTAACTCTGCTGAGGAGTTGGCTTTGCCTCCAGCTGAATGTGGAGTTCCTTGCACACCACGTGGTGAATGTTAAGCATGGAAGGAGCTGGCTGTGGCCTTTATCCTGGCCAACCCTGCTGTGTGTTGATTTGTGGTTCCCTTCTCTGACCTGATTATCCCTCATTAGGAAAATTCCATAAATGTTGCACTGAGATGCATGTGCTTATGTACTTCAAGGTAAGCCCACGCTCAAGTGCTTTGCTGAATGAAACCCTGTTGAGCATGCCAGGATTTTCCTGAGGCTGTTTGGAAGGAAGGAAGCAATAAAGCACAGAAGGGTGGGGGAGGCTTTTTGCACCTCCAGACTAATTTCAGAAGTATTTGCAGCAATAGAGAAAACTGCTTCTGTTCTTTCTGTGTAAAAGTATCTGAGAATCTCCACAGTCAGCAAAATGCTCAAATCCACCTTATGCACAGCACTTATTTGACACTGGAAACTTGCATTGAGCCTGTAGCTGTTTTGTTTGTTGTATGTGTATGTTGCTACTGCTGGATCCTAAACTGAATACTTATGAGACTCTTTTATGTAATTCTTTACAGTGGTACTAAAAATGGAGTTACACATTGAGCTTTTCCAGAAAGTAAAATGTCTGGTTTCAAACCAGTGATCATTTTAACTGGGTTTTACTATCTTGAAGACTGTTCTGATGGAATACAATTGTTCACTTTGTATTTGTGAAGTGTCAGAGACTCACAGAACGTTCACCAAGCCTCCATTTGTCAAGGCCTCATAATGCCTTCTCATTTTTGGAAATACTAGCTTCTTCAATCATCTAAGCTCACTGGGTTCAAGTGGCATTTGTGTGTGTTTGAGCTTACATGTCCTTGTGACAACATCTTAATAAGAGCTGTCCAAAAGATGGGAGCACTGATGTGGGTGACTGAGGCCCTGTGGTAACCCTGCACCTGAGCATGTGTCTATTCAAGTGTCCAGGCAGTCATGTCAGCTGCAGGGGGAAGAGCTTTGATATGAGAGAATACCCTGATTTGATCTGATCAATTTTTATGTCCTTTTTTGTTTTTATGCAGAACTATTTGGTATAAGTTAACGTACCTTTGTAGTGCCAGCACTGATCAGAATGCTAAGATGAAAAGATTTATAGACAGGATGGAAGATGAGATTACGGAGCATTTTCTGAAGACAGTCACTTCTGAAGTCAAGGTATTGGAGACCCATGTTAATACTGAATACTTTCATGATGTCAGGCAGGCACCCACTTCAGTGAGTATAATAATACTTGGTAATGTGTTAGAAATAAGTATCCTGTACCACCTCTGGGGACCCAGACCCCAAGAACTGAGCTCCACTGGAGTGGAATGCTCTACATTCTTTGCAGTTGGGTATCTTCATTTGGCAGTGATAATTCACAAAATCCAAGATGGTGGTGGGTAATCAGGAATTAGACCCAGAGAAGCTGTGGATGCTCCATTCCTGAAGGTGTTCAAGGCCCATTTTTCATAGTTTTATATCTTCTAGGTTTGAGTTTAAGAACTTAATATATTCTTCCTGATTTTGAATTGTTTGTCTTTCATGTTTTGCTTTTATTTGAAATAAATGTACAGAATGCTGCAGCTTGTGGAGGTGTCTTTTTTTTTCTCTGAGGGCAGAAAGAGCAAAAGCACACCAATCCACATCTGTAGCCTATGTGATGTCTCCACATGTGCACTCTGACTCTGCCTCTTTTCCTCAGGGAGTACTGAAGAATCATTTCCAAAAGAGTGACAGGGGTTTTGGACACATCCTTGGATTCTTAAAGCAAAGCTTTTTGATGTTTAAGAAGGAAAAAACAGACAAATATCAGGTAAGAAATAAGGAAGAAAATAAGAACAAGATATTCAGAAGTCACTAAAACTAGTCCATGAACCTCTACATGTGCAGTATTACAATGATAAACCGAACTCCCATTTCTTCTATCAATAGAAGGCCTGTTACAGATCTAGTGTCTCAGTCCAGTTCCTCATAGTTGGGCATCTACTTTCCCATGACAGCTAGGGCCTATCTGTAATCTCTCAGAGAAACCAAGAAGAGTAGAAACAAGAAAACCAAATGTATCTTCCAAACAGAGAGTGGTCTCTGATACTGCAGTTGCCCCAGTACCACTTTATTGGTATGCTAAGCGTTGGACTCCTTTTCTCTTTCCTCCAAGTTCTGCAGGTTTTTTATTGGTGCTGATTTTAATTAATGTTTTGAAACATGGAAAACAGTAATGGAATGGAAAAATTAGCAGTTATTCTGCTGTTGTTCAGAGCCTGTCACTGGGCGTTATGTCACATTAGTGCTGGGGTAAGCAGTGGCTCAGCAGTGGAGTCCTGGCCAGAGCTGTCTGTCTCTTGCTTTGTCTCTTTTGGACAGGGCTAGGGATTTCCCATTCCTTTGGACTGCAGCCTAAAACTGGACTGATTTCCACTGCTAATGAAAATGTGTTTTCTCTGCAGCACCCCATCACCCCTTAGAAATGTTCACTCTCCCTCCCTCTTCAAGCACTGCTTGGTCTTAGCACTGATGTTTCTTAGCAGGTTGTGGGTGGCTCAGAAGTATTTACGTGAGCTCTGTGCCCAACCACAGTAGTGTGCCCATGGGTATGGCCAGGGGATGTGTCTAGCAGGGATGTTCCAAGGAGACTGGATCTTGCTTTGTCTGTAGTCCAAGCTCTCCCAAAGCTATGCTGATTACTAGCTTGGTGCTAAGCCAAGTGTTACCTTGCTGCTCTAAAGTGTGAGTGGAGCTCAGCTAGCTAATCCCATTGCTTTTGGTTGGATGTTTCCACACTTATTATCAGTGTCATCCACATACAGCCTGGAGTCATCCACATACAGTTTGTATTACACCAGGGATGCTTAAGCAGAGAAATGGGACATCATTCTTCATGGGTCTTATATCACCTGCCTGCACTGCTCAGAATCCTATAGGTATGGTCTGTTCCTTGTTCATTATCCAGCTGAATATAGAGGAGCTAATTTGGTCTTCTTTGCTGTGGAATAGGCCCTTGTCAAGTCTGTGAACAACATAATTACTAACGAATACATGCAAGCCCTCCTGACCGCTTCCAGGAAATTGTCTGTGCAGAGGAGGCAGATTGTCAGCAAGATGGAAGAAGATCACAGGATGCTGCATACCATCTTTAAAGAGTGCTTAGTAAGTCTTTGATATGGTTATGGTTTTGCTCTGTCATGAAGAACAGTACTGGAAGAGAGAGAGGCTCTGAAAGCAAGAGACAAGCTTAGGAGGTCTTAACCACAGTGGTATTTACTTCATAGAAATGAAAATCAGGGGCTGGAAGACAGTTTTTCCTATCTGCCAGGAGCTTTTAACTTGTAGCTTTGAAATGTGTGACTACAGAGCAGGCAAGATTCACATTCCTACCACTGAAATAAGAATGAAGTACATTCCTCTAAACTGGAATGACAGCTCTAAGGCTGTCAGCTCCCTCAGGCAAGCCTTTGTGCCATAGCACATGTATGCATGAGATGAGGAAAGGGTTTCTGAAGAGCTGTGTTCCTTCCTTGTGCTTTCTCTCTAGCCTCTGGAATGAAGAACTGAATCAGCTGCTCCACATCTTCACCTTCTCCATGAGTTGCCCCACATGGCTGCCCCTCATTGGCCATGGGATACAGCTGTTGTTGCCCTCCCATTTGGCCTCTTCCCCCCCTGCAGACCTTTCCATGGCTGCTACTGGCTGCCTGTGCTTATAGCTGAAGACTTGCCTTTCCTAGAGTGATCAGAGATTTACCAGTAGTGCTGTGCTCAGCATCAGCTTTGGCTGAAATGTGCAAGACAGCTGGTTTCATAGTATAAACGAGATATGAGAAATCTAATTATCTGCCAAAGCTCTATGTTCCGCTTGGGTGAAAAAAGCCTGCATCTAGTACAGTTCCCCTCATGTCCCTGCTCTCTTTCTTATTTGATGTAGATGCACTGGAAACCTGGGGGAGGAAATGCTAAGCAGCTTGCAGGGGACAGCCTGATACTCGGTCAAATGAGATACATGGTTATGCATGCGAAGTATGTGCTCTACTGCAGACTGAATTTATCGTGCAGTTTCTGTTCAGGCTGCACCTGCTCCTTGCCCACTTTGCCCTCCATTCATGCTCTTCCTTCCACTCTGTCTCAGAACACATTAGGAAATACCTTGCTTCTTTCCTCAGAGCAATACATGTCCTAAACAATACAAGCATTCAAACACTGCTGACAAGCCGCCTCTTCTTTGTCTTTTTAGATTGCAGGCTGTTTACTTCTGACCATTCCTGTCCATATAGCACTCAACAAAATCTGACACCTTCTAATTAATTAGCATTTTGTAATAGCGAGCTTGCCAAGCACGAAGTCTTACAGGTTTGGTGCATTAGGAGCTGAGTACAGTGTGTGCACTGTGCAGAGCTGAGTATGTTGTGTGTCTGCAGTGCGGAGGAGGAGAGAGAAGGCTGTCTGCAAGTATTACTATTGTTTTTGATTTATATTCAGTGCGGAGATGTACTGCACGGAAGATCTGGCCTGCTGTTTCTAATGGCCCACGGAGAACCTGGGCTTCTCCTGGCCTGGTTTGGCAACCTGCTCTCCAGGTTTGCTTTGTCACAAAGTCTCTGTTGACGCGATGGCATCAATAATTAAGAGAAGCAATTTAATTGCACTACAGCACCAATGAAAAATGTGAACGACACCCCTCACTCGGCAGCTCATCCACATTCTGCTTCCCTCAACTTTTCTAAAAATGCCGTGTGTGTCTTGCTAGATTTTTGAGGCTTTTTTCTTTTGTGTGCGCCAGTTCAGAGGGAGCTGGCCAGGCACAGCACCATGCTCAGATCCTTCACAGTGCCCAGCCCTGCTTCCCTTTCCCAAACGCTTTGTCTGTTACAGCATCTGTATTACCTCACCTGCTGATCAGGGTCACTCTTTGATCCCTGGGCTGGTTCTGTGGCTGCTGTCATGTGCTGGCCTGCAGAACTTCTCACACAGTGCCTACCATTTTCCAAAGGGTGAGATAGCCTTTGAGGGAGAGGCCTGCTTTGGGAAAGGAAATGCACTGTGCTGCTGCAGGTAGTCCCTGAGCCATCCTGGAAACAGCCTGTGTTTTCTCCTAACCAGGAGGGTCAACATGCTTCTTGTGCATGCAGACAGTCCCACAAAGCTCCTAACCCATGGAGTGAGAACCTGAATGTGATATGAGGCCACCTCCATTACACACATTGCTTCCTTTGCCCTGAATACTCCTTTGCTTCTCTTCCCAGAGTCCCACAGCTGGTGCTCTCAAGGATCACATCAAAGCTGTTTTAGAACTTATTCAAGCTCCTGATGCTGAGGGGATGAAAATAGCCCTGATATCTGTGCTCAGACAATTTCCTGGTCTAAGGTAATCTGTTTACGTATTCTGCACAAATACTTGCCAGCAGAAGAACATCAGCCTGTGAGATACTGTCTTTGCAGTGTGCTGGCCCAGGCACAGCGCTTATTTTGAATGCACTCCATTTTTTCTATTTTCAGAGGTAGCTTAATTTGGTTTTTAGTTTTGCCTGACATTGACCACTCGAGCTGAGATGTCCCTCCATAAAAATGAGGGATGGATGAAATGTCTGTCAAAAAAGCAGGAACACTGTGGAAATATAATGCCTGAATGAACAGTGTACAGGCTGCACTGGTGCACTTTACAGCACCAGCACATGTGGGCCAAATGTAAGCTTCAGGAGCATCCTCAACTCAGGAATTTCATATCTTCCAAGCTCTTGGCTTTTGGCTTTCACATTTCACCAGTTCTTTTCTAGGAGTAACTATTTCCACCTAATCCAGAGAGAATATACACTTCAATTTTTCATAGGAAGCTGTTAAAAGAGATGAAACCCAACTTTTATTAGGAAAGTGAGATTTCAGCTAACTGTATTTGTTTCAAATTCTGTTTTTCATTATATCCATCTCGAGCTCTGATGTCTTGTGCTAGGGACTGTGTTTTTTCAAGTTAACATCATTACAGTGTAGAGCTCTCTGTCACAGGATGCTCTTAAGGCCAAAAGCGTGAATAGCTTCAAACAGGGAGCAGACAATTTGTGGTAGATAACTGTCTTAGTGCCTATTCAACATGACAGTCATGATACAACCCCTAGCGAAGGAAGTCCCTTAACTGCAGACTGCCAGAAGCGAAAAAGAAAGACAAAGAGATCATGTTATGCTTGGCCTGGTTTCCATATTCTTTTCCAAAGCATTTGCTTCTTTTAAAGAAGCAGTACTGAGATAAAAAGATATTTATCTGATACAGCATAAAGGTTCTTATTCTCTTATTACACACATATAAATGTATACACACACACAACACATATATGATCAGCAGAGCAGTGCTAGGTAATTCCATGTGAGGAGAGGAAAGAAATGATAGATGCTTTCAAATGATCCAATGTAGAGTTACCCCAAATCCATTATGGAAGATGTCAATTTTTTTCCAGGAGTAAACTGAGGTGAAGGATTTCACAGTTCCACGTGCAGAGCGCATGGGACCTTTGAGCTCAGCCATGTCATGCACAGCCGTGGTGTTATGGCCTTCCCCTTTCTAGGTGGCCAAAGAGTGTCAAAAAACAGCTCAGTAGGTTCTAACCCTTGGCCTGGCCAAGCAATATGAGGTGGTGGGAAGCAAACCTTTTCCCTTTGTTCGTTCACTGACACGTCCTCTTATCCTTTTGAAAAGGGAAGAACATCTGAACACAGTGTTGGACATCAAAGGGTCGCTCCATCAAGAAGATAGAGTTGCTTTATTGAAGATATTTCATGATAATTGTAGGAAAATTGAAACAGAAAGCAACTTGCTTTTTGAAGATATAGAAGTAAAACCTGGAATGTGTAAACGCTGTTGCTGCTTTTGTTGTTAGGAAAGGTAGGTGTGTGTGAGTGTGCTTGAGAGTGATGTGTACACGCATAGGCATGCCTGCTTCCAGGGGCATGGAACGCCTGTGGCTGTAACACCGCCTCTCTGAGCTCCTTGTTGCTCTAAACTCCATGTAGCTTTCATTGCTCTGGCTGCAAATTTCTACACCATGAGGCATCACGTTGGAGGTGGTGAAAGGAACTGATTGCTGAGAAGCGTGATTCAGCTTACAGCAGCAATACAGGGCTTTTCCTCCACATTCCTCCCTCCTGACTGTGCATCCCTGCTCCTCTCCCTCCCAGCCCGTTATGATATGTGCACATGCAATCAGGCAAGCTCTAGTGAGTCCTTGCAAGTCCCCACTTTAAAAATAGCTTTCAGTGGAGAGCATAGAGCTATTTGTTTCGCTTGAAATAATCTGTAACTTCTTTTTGGTCTGAATTTGTCCACAGTTTTAGCTGTGCCATGCCAGAGCCCCCTGCTATCAGAAAGCTGAGTTAATATTTACAGATTGTCACCAGTCGCCTTCTGTTGGTTAAGCTGAATAGATTGAGGATCTCAGGTTGAAGAGTACAGTCTCTTTGCACCACCTCCTCCTCTGCTCTCCCGTGTCACCGTTTATTTATAGTTCCCCATGTTAGCAGAGCAAGGATGAGTTATGCAGAGCTCTGACCTGGGGCTCCAGGCACAAGCAGACAGCAGGTTGCCCTGTTGTAAGGAAGAGAAAACAACGAGAGAAATGATTAACAAGCAAGCACACTTTCCCCTTAAAATGAAAATTGATTCAGATATAATGAATGGGCTACCAGTCACCCACTTGTATTCCACCCTTTAAAGTACTTATACGTAGCACCACTTTTGCCTTAGAAAAGATGTTCAGGAACATGCTTTTAAAATACTGTAAATCACTTAATCTCCTATTTGCTGAAATCCCCTGGGTAAGTAGGCTCCCAAATCCCAGAACTGGCTGGGTGGCAGAAATGTTTGTGCTACAGATTGGTAGTCTCATTTCAGCTCATATGTAGCAGTGAAACTGACTGTGGGATGTGCTTAAATAAAGGTGACCTTGATTTACAATGAGGGCAGTGAGGCACTGGCACAGCTTGCCCAGAGAGGTGGTGGATGCCCCAACCCTGGAGACAGCCAAGGTCAGGTTGGACGGGGCTCTGAGCACCTGATGGAGCTGTGGGTGTCCCTGTTCGGTGCAGGGGGTTTGGACTGGATGGCTTTTAAGGGTTCCTTCCAAATCAAAGAATTCTGTGATTCTATGACTGTCAACACATGAACACTGATAAGGTTTAATACAGGAGTCTGTGAATAGAAGCAATGTTTCTGCTGTTTGACTCTTGCACGTGTTCTGACAAGTGCTATTTTATTACACAGCTTTCTTCTTGCTTTCACTGAGACCTACTGTGAGGAACATGAAGTTCTCTCTCCCACATGGCAATATCTGCAGTCACAGCTCCTGGAAAGCTTCATGGACTCGTGCAGCTGGATGCATGAAGAAGTGTGGCAGCTGTGGAAGCCAGAATTCCTGCACTTCTGCAGGAAAACCACATGGCCCAGATCCTAATGTTCTATGCAGAGACCAGGCAGAAGTTGACTGGAGTATGGCTGAAAGACATTCCTTTAAAATTGCTTAGAGAATGGTGCTTAGCTGAGTGCTGGTGGTTATTCCCAAGATGCGCTATCATGGTGTGGAGGAGGGGGAGGTTCCTCTCTGCCGAATTTCTGTTATACAGAGTCTCATGCTTAACAAGGGACTGCTGCTCCAGAGTGCCCTAGCAGATGATACAGCATGATAACCTGCCTCAGGGCTCCCTGTAGAGCCTAGCCTGTGGGAGCATGGGGCAGCCATGGGCATGGTGCAGGATCCAGCCCCTATAAGCCTGACCTGGTAGAAATGTGAAATGCGTCACACCAAGGTCACAAGCCCCAAGAGTGGGAGCAGAAGGTGGCATTTGTCCTCGTGTCCCTTGCTGGGATGGCTTATGGCAGTTTCCTTGTGGGATGGAGAGCTTTTCATGTACAAGTTTCTCAGCTGATGCTGGAGCACTTTTGCATTCATTTTTGTATCTCAGTTACTGGAAATTTCTTCTTGCTGTGTGAAGTAGCTCCTTTGGAGAGGGAGTGGAAGGCCTTGAGGGAAGTAGGCAGTGAAAGGAGCTGTTTGTCCCAGCTGCTGGGCAAGGTCTGTGCTGTTTTCAGATGTGGATAGGCAGTTCTGCTAAGGAAAGCACTAACTTTCAAGTTATCTATGGACTGTTCACACCCTCAAGCTGAATTTGATTCAAGGCCTTCCTTTAATTTAGGTCATTACAGACTTGTTCCTCTCTGGTATAACCTGCAAGTTTGCAAGGCTGGGGCCACGTCCAGCTCCTGGGCTGTGGGATGTTGTGCAGGTCTGAATGAGAGCCACCACCGTGCCATGCGAACAGCCCCTTTGGATGTGCCAGCAATGAAGCCATATCTTGGGCTGGCTCTGCAGGGTGGTGGACTCCTGTCACAGTGTGCATTGCTGTGCTGGGAGTGCTGACAGCCTTGTCAAGCACGCCGGGTCATCTGTCCTCCCGTGCTGCCTAATTGCACATTTTTTCAAGGGCAGGAAGTGATTACAGCCCCAACTTTGTGATGACGGGATTAGAGGCAGCCTCTGTTTATTGGAATTTCAATCAACGAACCTTCCAGAGAAAATAAATAAAAACCCCTTTGACATTTTGATCGCGTCTGGTCTAAAAATAATTCCACTGCACTTGAGAGATTCCTGCCACAGACATTTTGATTGCTACATCCATCTCTTCCATTTGACATTCACAGGCAGACAAGGGTATGTTCTACTCGCAGGCAAAGCCGAGGAGCCTTTGGGGATAGATTTGACCTGCGGTGAAAGGCTGGGCAGTCATCTGCTCTGCATGCTTGTATAGGATAAGCACTGCTTTCAGTAATGCCTCTTAATGGCCTGTGCATGGCATTAGATTGCGGACAGGGCAAATAAAGGCTTGGCTTCAGGAGGCAACCTTGGGTGAGGAGCTTTGTCCACCAGGTTGAGTGCTGGTGGCATGTGGGAGGCTTTCTCAACCTGGGGTGTTCTCTGGAAAGGGAATGGGAGGACAGGCAGATGGCATGGAAGGAACATCCTCAGCCACCTGCAAGCCTGCTGGGGGGAGCAGATGGTGTGTGGGGGCCTGCTAGGGGCTCCTTGGAGGGGAGGTGGTGGGGTCTTGTGTCACACAGGCAGGGTGAGCAGTGGGGAGGCTGTCTGAGGTGGTCAGGAAGGGAAGGGGAAGCTGTGAGCATGGGGAGTGAGCGATTTCCCTTGTTTTGGGGGGATTTAACCCACTTGATTGTGAGCCCTGACATTCCTATATGAGCCCTTTCCAGGCTTCACCCCAGGCTGGGGTTAAGGCGCTTGGGTGGGATTTGTGCTGCACTCAGTGGAGGGCAGGAAAGCAGGGTCGCATTCAGGATCTTCCCACAGGATTATTCCATGGCCTAGGGAAGTAAGCACTGCCCTTGCTGTCTGTTTTGCAGGGCCTGCTGCCACCCCAGAACTGCACTGAGCGCTGCCCTGGTATCTGGCAGCTCCACCAAAGCACAGAGCTGCTCAGAGCTCAGCATCCCTTTGCAAGGGCTTTCTTCTGCTACACAGGGACCACTTGGTCGTGCCACTGCCTTGCTTACCCATGTTAGGAAGAAATTCAGAGGGCAGTGAGGCCCTGGCATCGCTGCCTGGAGAGCTGCGGTGCCCCATCCCTGGAAGTGCCCAAGGCCAGGTTGGGTCGGGCCCTGGGCGGCCTGAGCTGATGGGGGCAAACAGCCCATGGCAGAGGTTGAGACTGGGTAGGCTTTAAGTCCCCTTCCAACCCAACCATTCCGTGACTGTAAAGGCACACACAGACGAGAAACCTTTGCTGAGGCCTCTGCTCTGCACAAAAGGGCTGGATTCCCCGCTGCCCCGGGGACAGCCCGTGCTGTGAAGGGTCACGCAGCTGGTGCCACCTGGTGGCTTTCGGATCCCCTTCGGCTTCACCAATAAGTATTTGCAAAGGGCCGCGGTTCTCTGTATCGTTTTGTTCTATAACCCATCACAGAGCATCGCAGGGTTTTGTAACAAACGTAAAGCAAAGCTCCACGCACAAACGGCGTCCCCCAGAGCCGGGCGCTCTCCCGTCCCTCCTCCTGCGGCCCCGGGTACCGCCGCCAGGTGGGGATACGGCCGCGGGAACGCGCCGCTCGGGAGCGCCCAGCGCGGGGCTGGCGGCCGCCAGGGGCCCTTCTGCTGCCCCGGGCAGCGCGGAGAGCGGCTGCTGCTGCTGCTGCTGCTGCTGCTGCTGCTGCTGCTGCTGCTGCTGCTGCTGCTGCTGCTGCTGCTGTGCTGCTGCTGCTGCTGCTGCTGCTGCTGCTGCTGCTGCTGCTACCCGCCGGGCTTTGCTGCTTGCAGCGCTTTCTCGGGCACCGCTGGCGGTCAGCCACCTTCTGCGTTTGCCTTCGCGTTGCTCAGAGCAGACAGCAGCCCGCTCTCGATGCTGACAGCTGGAGCTGCCGAGTTGCTTTCCATGCTGGGCAGGTGTCAGCTCGTTTTTGCAAATCCCAGCGAGAGATTTCCTTTTTCACAGCGATGTGTTGACACAACCAGTTCGTGACCCTTCATTACTCCGCAGTGTTTGGCTTTTTGCAGTTATTGCTGGACGGGCAGTTTCCTCCCTGTATTTGTGCAGTTGTTTACTTCTGTGTCCTCGTGTTATACTCATTCTGCATCCTATTGATCTTTTTTTCCTAGATAGTTGCAAGATCAAATCCTGTCCTCTGCCTCCCTGCATGCAGCCCCTGAAGGCCCCATGAGCATCCTTTGCATTTCAGCATCCAAAATCTTAATGAGCCTTTTTAATTCCTGTCTGGGACAAAGCAAGCGGATGAAATCCATCTCTAGAAGCCTCCAGTTTATTTAGGCTGCAGTTGGATGCACAGTTTGTTATCATTCTCATCTTTCATTTTGTTTTGGCAGTGTAGCTGTGTAAACATCCCCCATGGCACCCCGCCCGGAGCAGAGCTCAGGGCTGGGTGTAAAGCAGGGGGACAGCAGGGATGGGGGTGGCACAGACTGCACAACCAGGGCTACTGCTGGAGCAGATGCCTCTCTGAGCACTACAGTTATGTCCTGTGGTGCTTTTCATCCCTTGGTACTGGCACTGGCTTTGGCTTTTACTTGTTCCCCAATGCCTATGCTGCAGCTTGAAGTGAATCCGCTGGAATTTGAGTAAGTGTTGTTTCTGTATGTAATTCCCCCTCAAACTTCAGAGGATTAAGGAATTCATGAGCAAGCTAAACTCCCACCACACTTCATATTCCCCCTTCTGCACTGGGAGACTTCTTCGTGCCTTCAATATTATTTCCCGAGTTGCTGCCAACTCCTCCAGACTCCATGTTCTCCTTAGGTTGACCTGCCTCGGGTCTCTCCTACTGCGTCTCATCTGCCCCTGCTGACCGTGTTTTTCCCAGCTCCTCCTGTGCTGAGATCCAATGTCTCTCTGCTTTCCTCATCCCTAGTTTCTCATCACTCATCTCACCTCCAGAACAGTGGCAGGAAGGGGGTGCTGAGCCCCGTGGCCCTGATGCTCATGCAATGCCATATCCTGTGTTTATCCAAGTATTAGGAATCAATATTTTGTTTCTGTCTTTCTCCATGTACAGTTAACCCCACACTATTGTTTTGCTCATATGCATTCTGACCTTCAGTGCAGTGCTGAGCTGCCAAACTCTGTGTTTAGGAATTTCCCTCTTCAACCCCGACGCAGAACGGTGGGTTGGATTTTAGGGCTTGTGGGGCTGGAAGGGTACGGGAAAAGCAGCGATTCTGGGAAATCACGTGTCTCTCCCAGCATTTGGAAACAATTGAGGCTGCCAGCCATGATGTAAGCTCACAGTTGTGCATGCTTTAGGGGACTGCGTCAAGGCAAGGCTGTAGCTACTGCAGACAGCAGAGTATAGCCTGAGTCATTCACTTCGAAAAGCCATGCCCTTCCCCAAGGAGCTCCTCCATCCATGGGGAAATGACAGACAGATGCCTTGAGGGAACAGTACTCTGGTTTTACTGAGATGCTGTTTGATTTTCATTTTTGTGAATACAGAGATGTTTGTGTTAGCTTCAGATGTTCTGCACAAGGCTGGACTCCCGAGGATTCAGCATTGCTGAAATTCTTCTTTTTGCCTCAGAAGTGCTGCAACTGGATCCCTCCCTCCTGCCTATAAGTGAGGCTGGGGACAAGCTCCTCCAATGGCCTAGGTTCCCCAGGGCTGCCAGGCACTGCTGCAACCCTAATCTGCTGACATCTTTGTGCTGTGCAGAGGGAATTTTGCACCAAAGAAAGTCTGAAATACATTCAGTGAGAAGGGATTGCCCTTTCTATTGCCTGTTTTGGAGTAGCCCAACTCTCTGCATTGCAAAAGATGCTTTACCCCTCCTGCAAGGCAGTGGCTGGTAGCAATAACTGAGCTGCAGTACATTGGGCAGGAGGTGGATGTGTAGTTGATGGCAAACCTATAAACCATAATCATCCATCAGTCACCACTGGCAGCAGGATCCTCATGAGTGACACTGGCAGTCCCTGGAGGTCTTCCAGAAGACTCTTATTTTTCTAGGGCAAAACATCAATGTAGTATGGTCACCATTCAGAATCTACCGATCTTCAGGGGAGGCAACCAGGGAGCAAGCTCACAGCAGGAGTCTTGCCTTGGCCAAGGCTGTATATCTGCATGGCTAACAGAGCAGCAGCTCCTGGCCAAAGCCAGCACTGGGATGTAACTGAGGGGTACAAGCACTTTAGGTCACATCTGGCCTGCTTTAAAGCAGCTGTTGCTTGAAAAAAATGAGCTGAAGCTGTGAGTTCTGTTTATAACTTTTCCCATTAGTGAAGAGTCACTGTAGGTCAATGGCAGCAGCTTTCTTCTCCAAGTGTTACAACATCTCCTGCTGTAACACAATGTGTCTCTCTTTTGCTTCTGAAAAGGCACAGAGCTCCCTAAAGACACCCACATCAAAGGCTGTCCTCCCCCATGTGCCTCCACCTTCCCCCCAATATGCTGAGCTGATGTGAGGGACTTGCAGACAGTGGCAGCAGCCTGTCTTCCTGGAAAACCACAGCTGTTGGCCATAGGGATCTCCACTGAAGTCATAGATTCATTGGGGTTGGAAAAGACCCCTAAGATCATCTAGTCCAACCATCAGTCTACCACCAACATTGCCCCCTAAGCCATGTCTCTCAGTGCCACATCTCCAAGTTTCTTGAACACCCCCAGGGATGGTGACTCTACCACCTTCCTGAGTGGCATGTTCCAGTGACAGAAGACTCCTTCAGAGAAGTTTTTTCTAATATCCAACCTGAATCCAATCCTTCATAACTTATTTGCTGACAACATGTGCAGGAGAGAGTTGCCCCTGTGATGGATGTGCTGTCAGTGAGATGGTTCAGTCGAGGGGCCTAGGGCTCCTAGCTAGTGAACAGAGTCTGCAGAAGCTGACTAGCAAACTATGTGAAGAGTGGTTGCAATGATGACAGAACTGAACGCTTCTCAGTAGTAGCCAATGGTACACCACAGGGAAATGGGCACAGGTTGTGTCCCCCTGACTTCCATGACCAAGGATGTGCAGCCCAGAGATGCAGTGGACTCTCCACTCAGAGGTTTTCAAGACTATGCTAGGCAAAAGCACAGGTTGACCTGAGCTAG